AAATTTAAAAACGTAGAATTTTAATAATTATTAATAATAAATTTAAAATTTTAACAACATACATCAAATATGTAAATTATCTACGTGGGCTGGCAGTATACATACATAACAAACAAGTAAGTGGGGTCGGATTTTCAAAAACAGTAACATATTTAATTAAATTTAAGAAAGATTTGAATTGTGAATTTCTTTGAAAGGGTCAAAATTAAAATTGAAAAGACGCCTGTTGCTGACTATGATGGGAAAGCACGCATAGCGTCTCTGTTCTGCTTGCATACCTTGAGACACTATTGATACATTAAATTTACAGTATGAATTATTGACCATACATTAAACCCTAAACCCTACACACTAAACACTAAACCCTAAACCCTAAACCCTAAACCCTCAACCCTCAACCCTAAACCCTAAACCCTAAACCTTGCAATAAGACATTCTGGTATCAAAATAAGCCCAACCGCCATTCATGGCTGAAATATTTCAAGCAAAATGTCCAATATAAGTTCCCTCAAAATTGACAATCAATATAACGTTATTGATCGATCTAACACTTTGTTCAAATTACACCGGTGTCGTTTAAACCCTCCTTATATATATGTGTGTATATATATATATATATATATTTGCTAAACATTATAAATTAGGTGACAATGGGTCATCAAGTTACACGGGAATACAAAACCTCATACAATTTTCTATATTCAACATCAAAATAACAACCAATGAGCCAACGCCATTCATCCCGCAAAGCATATGTTGTTTATGTAGGTAGGCAACCAGGAATTTATTTGTCATGGTTTGAATGCGAGCAACAAGTTAATGGTTATAAAGGAAATAAGCACAAGTCTTATTCAACATACGAAGAGGCTGAATCAGCATGGATTGAATACTGCAACAGTCGTGGCCATTCTGAAAGGAAATCATGTTCTATGCCTATACCAACACAAACGAACGTTGAATGTCACAATTTTGGAAAACCGGAAGGTGACGTTTTCAATACTTCAACTTATGTGTTTATATTTGGAGTGTGTTCTTAATCATTTTATACACTTTGTTAGTTTCAGGAACCACATCAACTGACATTCTTCAACACCCTTCGGCCGATGAATTTGTCATTCAGCAAAGTATGACGAAAATGTTAACCGACATATGTGGCATACTTAATATTGGTTTTCCTGTGTACACCAAAGCTGAGGTTAAATATGTTGAAGATGTTGAATATCGAAGGTTCTATGGATCCTTGGTTGTAACACTGCCTGAAAAGACAATTGGGTGTTTAGGCAAATTTGCTTCAAATGATGAAGAGGCAAAGGAAGATGTTGCGTTGTCCTTGATACAACAATTGTTAGCGGTAAAAGGAAAAAAAATTAAGGACTTTAACTACTATAGCATGTTAGAAGTTGAGAAGGATCTACAAAAAGTTATTCATGATAAACTGGAATTGCAAATGGAGGTTGCGATGTTAAAAGAACAAATTGCGAAATTGACTCGCTGACGGTATAAAAGTCATATTAATCTCTTCTTCGTGTTTGTTTTGTTTATTTATGTGTTCCACCTAAATTATGGCATTGTTAATCATTTTTTAAATATTGTTTACTTTTTTATTTAGACCTATGGTTAGATTCTAAATTACAGTACATCAAGATAAAGGTGGACATTATAAATTCGGTACGACTTGGTAGGAGATGCAACTGTGATACGACATACACACAACTCAATACACACGCACAGATATTTTGAGTATCATCATCACGATTCTCATATCTTGGCCATCAGCATCAGTCTGACTACTGAGTCTGAATAAAAAAAAACAAAATGTGGTGCGACTGAATCCACCGAATGCTTTATGCTGCTCATAATTATTACAAAAATATATAAATAATAAAATATTGAATTAAATATTTAATTTGTAAATAATTTATTAACAATATTAATATTTAAATTATTCCGTGGATCATTATTTTCAAAATTCTTCATCCTCCGAAAAGCAACTTCCGAACAATTCGAAAAATTACAATATTTTTTTAAAAATTAACTAATTTTAATAAATAATGAATTTATAATAATTTTTTTAATTTATATTTATAAGATAGTATTCGGACGATTCCGAAAATGACAATATTAATTTTAAATTTAAAATATTTGACTAATTAATGAATTAATAAAAAAAATTAATTCATATTTATAACATATTATTTGGATGATGATTGGACCTCAAAATTGGCTTTCCATGTAACTAAATTGTCACCACCATTTTTAATTTGGTATACATTTTTGTCCACATTTTTAAAACCAAACTCTTAACTTTATGAAAAATGTTAAAGAAAATTTTCTTTTAATAAAATTTGTTTATGAATAAAGAAAAAAGAACCATCTTTATTTTGCAATTTAATAAGGTTAAATTGTAGTAAGTCATAATGTTAATATAAAATCTTTTTTGTATCACATATTATATATATATATAATATATATAAATATATAAATATATATATTTTATTCAATTAAATTTAGACAAACACTAATTAACATTTTTAAATATATGTCTATAAAATGGACATATCTTAAACACCAAATTGTTGCTTTGTATTTTGGTGTTTTGGAAAGCGTGTCTTTACGTTTTCGTTAACAAAACGATTTTCCAAACACGCTCTAAGTGTCACATATCTTCTTCCCTCAAAAAATAATAATCAATGACGTTTAGACCAATGTTTATACAAACACAGCACAGACATTGGGCAATGTAAATACACATTCCAATGTTCTGAAAATGTCATCCCAGTTATGTACAATTTGTGAAGACCAACTCATCTGCATAAACACTTTGATCATAAAAGACATACTATTTATACTAAGGAAAAAAATCTATATACCCAGTTTTCTTCATTTCCACATTAATTTGTATGTTTTGGGCTTCCAGTGTTGTATGTTTTTCCAGTCATGGCAAAAATGGACATGAACGATATTTCATTTAGTCTCACACTTCTGAAGGTCGAGGTTTGTATTTATAAATATTATTATCACTATTCTTATGTGTTGTTACATTTATACTATTGTTTTCAAATATTTTTTAATTAACTATGTATATGCATTTTGAAGAGGCGTATTATACTCCCCACCTATTTCAACGAACTTTTTCGCGATCAAAAGAATCGGAAAGTTTTTGTGCATGATAGGGATAACGAAATAATACATACAGACATTGAGGAAATGATGTATAATGGAAAGCAAAGAATGTTTATGGTTAATGGAATCGCAGATCGTATACACAAATTTTGTCCCCATGGAACCTGTAAGGCGCATTTCCGTTATGTTGGTCAAAAACATTTCCTTTTTAATTATATCCCTTCTGCTCCAATGCCACTTGAGGAAGCTGAACTGTATCAAACACTCTGGGACAACAACCAAACTGTAGGTTGGGAAACCTTCATCAAAAAAAGTCATATAAAAGGAGCTCTTGTAAGTTGGAAATGACGGTTTATAAATTTTTGTTTTTTTCTTAATAAACTGTATTTATTAATTTTGTTATGTTACCATATTTTAGCCGATTCCCGCTAATATTCGTAAGGAAGAGTTTGTTGGAGCCAAATATCGACCTAAAACCGTTGAAATTGTTCTACTTCCAAGTGGTACAAAAATGAAGTGGACATTGTTGTGTTACAAACATCAAATTTTTTTCGGTCCCGGTTGGTATGATTTTGTAAAGAAGGAGGAGTTGGGTACAGGTGACTATCTGTTTTTTGATAAAATTGTTGGACAAAACAAGATTTACCTGTACGTGGACCAAAAATTATGAATTCCTACGGTAAGCTTTTACTAATCCTCTTTTGAAACCATTTTGAATTGAATATCAATTATCACTTATTAATGTCAACCAATTTCAAAAGCAACCCTAATACCTTTCATTTTTAAACATTTTAGGTCGTCCATCATGATTTCACGATTTCCTCTTTCTAACAAGGACTGTTGGTGTTAACTTTCTTTATGTTTTTTTATTTCATTTTGTGTATGTGTGTTTCAATGTTAACCCTCTGCTATTTGGACTGAACTTTGTTAAGTTTCACATGCTACCCGGTTCATTTATTTTTTACACATTACTTATCACTTGAACATCAAACCTAATAGGTAATATGAATTGTATATAGTAATTAAAGGTATTTCAACTGTTGTTACGGTATCATATAAATTATGAGGAATTTTATAAATACAACATTCATCACAAATTATTATTATAAACAAACTATGATCAATATTTTACAACATAAACTTTTTTGCATATAAAGTTTTGTAATTAAATATTATAACAATACATATGCTTGTAACACAAGTAAGGTAGTATTTGCTGAATCTTTGTCAGGCGTCATGATGACGAATGAACCTCGAGCGTCGACCATGTCACTTATCAACTTTTCATGATTACAACAAAATCGCATACCAGTGGATCTCCTACGGAAAAGGTAATAATCACTTTAACCTTCTGAGATGTTAATAAATTTGATGGGATGCATGTCCGTAATTGCAGTAGTATAAATGTTAATAATTTAATTTCTGAATTATGAAATTTATATAAATAATGTTGAAATTTTCATCATCAGTATCCTTTATTTACTACATGAATGCGCATTTCAATATTTATAAATGATTAATTTTAAACTACGTATTAATTAGTTATATTATAATATGACTTATTCGGTGTTAATGAATTTTTCTGTTAATTGTGTTACATAACATCATATAACTTGTTATTCAAATTCTGTATGTTGCTTTTCATTGTTACCATTTATTGTTTAACTGTACATTACTTCAAAAGTGCTGCTTATTTTATGCCAATAAATGACTGCAATTATAAGGTATAACTACAAATATTTACAAAACCCTAAACAAAAAACAAATGACTAATAATGTTTAATATAATATACAAAACAAAATAATACAACCATTACAAAATACGTTACAACATATATTAATGCATCCTTAAACATAAACTATGTATTATAACGAAACTATAACCACATAAGGCTTTCTTCATAAATATACATGTAGTGCGGAACTTCAATAATTTCAAATATCTTATGCTCAAGAATCCGCTCAATGTTATTCTTCCTAAGCATCATTCCGTTGGTGTTGTTTACATAAACAACACCAAAATCTGTAGAACACACCGGTAACATGTATCCGGAACCGTAGTGAGACGTGTGCAATGTTACGTATTGAGTCCAGTAACATTGACCACCATTTTCCTTCATGCTCCATATTTTGACAACATAATAGCTTGATCTTTCAACATTGTCAAATATTGCACAAAAGCTGATAAGTTCATGTAGTATAACCAATGAACAAACTTCAACACTTTCGAAATCACACTCGCTGGGGAGAACAATCTCTTCAGCTTCACCACTACTACATTGGTATGCTAAAATAACAAACGAGTGACTAATAAAAGACAATACAACCCAATACAAAGCTTCACCAAAATACAAACCCAACCACCCATTTGATACAGTAAAATCAGGATCCATATACCTACAGAATATATTCGTATTAATGGTGGACCACTCACCATTTCTGAATGAGTAACGCTCAATGATGCCTGTGCCATCATATATGTTATCATATACCTCCATGTAAAAATACTCTTTTACAATAGGAACATACCCTAAACCATAGAACTTACGAATATATTCCTCTACTATTGGGGTTGAATCAGTCAGTGGCCTCTGGTTAACCCCGAGGAAATTTCCAGTTGTGGGGTTCCAAACATAGGTAGAAAAATTACCTTGAAATAAGCCTTTAACCAATAGAAGACCCCTGCATACTCCATATACTTGCATGTCGTAAATGAGACCTTCTCCAACCATGTCTGTCCTTATACGCCGCTGAATGCCGATATCATCAATATGTTTGGTGATGTCCATCGAACATACACCCAAATTTTGAAATCGATAAGGCGAATTTATGAAAATGGGTTTCTTAATTACACCACCAGCAATGTAGTTTGCATGCAAGAACTTAGGATCAGACAAAACCCTACACCACTGCCTACTAACACATCTAAATTTAGCAATTGACTTGGACGGTGAACGGACAATGATTTCCAGAACCAAGTCAAAAGGTAAACATGATAGGTCCATGCTGGGAATTTTCAATAGATAAGGCTAACAAAACCAGGGGTTTGGTCACGCGTGCATCGGATATTTGTATGTATAACTGAAACAAAAATGCCTAACACAAATAGTGGTTACTTATATATATATATAAGCATAAAACCATTGTAACTATCTCTGTCTTTTCGTTTCTAACTAGTGCGTGCATGTTTGTTTTATCATTTGGAAAAGCCAAACGGACGTTCAACTCCATTTTTTCCGTTTGAATGCATTGAAATGTGTGTGGATGAGTGCATTGGAATGCGTCTCCGTCTTTTGCTTTCAATCACCACGACGCCGCGCTTCGAATTAACTGACTTTATAAAATATAATAATATATTGGCAAAACATTTAACTTTTACATTCGTAAATGATTTGATTTTTAAAAAAACCAACTTTTTCTTTTTATTAACTTAAATATCAATTTCTAAACTTAAATGTAAATATATATACTATATTACTCTAATTACACCATACAGTAATTAATTTTGAAAAATTGCATCACAATTTTGGATCCTTCATTCATATATGTCATGACAGATCTTTGTCAATTGTTACAGTAAATGTCGTTTTTATTTGTATTTTTTGTTTGTCGAATATGACTAATTTTAACTGTTAAACATGCATGCTTTTGTTTTGTGTACTGGTTTTGTGTTATCGTACTTTTTTATGAATGTATTTTATTTCATTTCATTCAAGGATACTAAAATAACAAAAAAATTTAAAATCCTCTACTTCTATCAACAATTCAAATTTGTGCTCTACTTCATATTTTAAATATTTCTGGTTTGTCATTTTTAATTCCAATGTTGGATTACTGTGGTTCGTAGGATTCAGAAATTAATATGTGCTTCAGGAGGCACGTGTCATGTGTTTACACGAACGTCGAATGTATCAAAATAGTTATAAGGATGAAAATGATGCGTCAAATTTCACTTGTTTGGAAATGGAGTAGAGAAGACAAGAAAGAAAGACAGAATACGGGGGAGGAGGCAAACCATAACATAAAAAACAGACCAAAAATACTATTTCACCTTCAACTCAACTTTAATTTCGGTCATAAAAGAGGTAAATTCAAATTTTTTCTATGTAAATCAATAAACATTACAGAATAACAATATAATTCACATTTTTTCTATAAAAATCACAAAACATTAGTAAACCCAATACTAACAAGCTATACATAATCCTTAATACAAATAACCTCAAAATAAAAGTAATACAAACATCTTATACATAATTAATAATAAAAATAACCTAAACCCAAAGAAGGCTTTCCTCATAAATAGTCATGCGGTGATAAATTTCTATAATTTCAATCATCTGATGCTCAACAACCCGATGAATGTTGTTCCACCTAAGTATCATTCCACTGTTGTTGTTTATGTAAACAATACCGTAATCTGTAGAACATACAGGTAACATGTATCCGGAAGCCCAATCACACATATGCAATGTTACAGTATTACTCCAACACTGCTGACCACCATATTGCTTCATTGACCATATTCTTATAACATAAAACGGTAATTCAGCATCGTCAAAAATCCCACAAAATGTTAGGCATTCATCAAGTATAACTAATGAACATAGTTCAACCCTTGACAAATCAACATCACGAGGTAGGCCAACAGCCTCAAATTGACCATCACAAAATTTGTATGCTAATATTTGATATGAGTTAATAGTATAGGACAACACAAGCCAGTGCAGACGTTCAGCAAAATACAAACCAAAGGACCCATTCCGGACAGTATCATCAACTTCAGTATATGATAATTCCATGTTCGTATCAATAGTTAACCACTCATCCTTTGTCAACGAATAACCCTCCACTATGCCAATCCCATCATATTTCTTTTTATATATCTGAATATAAATATACTGACCTATATTTAGAGCATACCCCAGACCATGAAACTTAAGAATATATTCATCCACAAATGGAGTTGACTGAATCGGTGGCCTCTTGTTGAATTTCCTCAAATATCCTGTTGTGGGATTCCAAGCATAAAACTTAAACTCACCTCCAAAAAGAACTTCGACCAACACCAAGCCCCTGCATGCACCAACAGCTTTGATATGGGATCCGAATTCATGACAAAGCAAATCTGTTCTGAATGTTCGCACGATGGCATTATCATTTAGATGTTTGCTGGTATCAACCAAACATATCTGTCGAAGTATTTCATTTATGAATAAAGGCTTCCTTATGCCACCCACGGCTACATAATTTTCTTCTAAAAACTTCCGATTGGACAATAACCTCTGCCAACTCTTACAAACGCATCTGTATTTTGCAATACAATTGGCAGGCAATCAAACAATAATTTGTAATATCAACTCAGATGGCAATGCCGAGAAGTCCATCTCACTCTCAAATCTCTTTGTATAATACTTATCCTGATGCTACAAATGTTCGATTTTAAGGCTCCGGGTTTGTACATATATATGCACCCATTGGATACTGACCGTCATGAATGGGGACTTGTACTGTTGTACATGACTACTTATTTCTTAGCTTGCAACCCTTCCCATAACTGGCGCCGTTGGTTTCTGGGCTGTTTGGTTTCCGGGCCGTTTAGTAAATTACTAAATTACTAAATTACTAAAATACTAAATACTAAATACTAAATACTAAATACTAAATACTAAATACTAAATACTAAATACTAAATACTAAATACTAAATACTAAATACTAAATACTAAATACTAAATACTAAATACTAAATACTAAATACTAAATACTAAATACTAAATACTAAATACTAAATACTAAATACTAAATACTAAATACTAAATACTAAATACTAAATACTAAATACTAAATACTAAATACTAATTACTAATTACTTGTTTTTTTGTACATACTAATTTTCACTTACTTATTATCATGTTGTAAATTTCAATTTTCCTTCGTGTTTACAATTATAAAATAAACAAAAAAAACAATAATGTCAATTTTAATTTAACTTCAAATTTACAATTATAAAATAAACAAATAAAACAATAATGACACGGCCTGATCAGAAAATCTTGCCCCGACCGAAACCGGAAGTTTTCGAGGTGAGTTTTTCAGTTTGGCAGGTTATTTTCAGTTTTTTCAATTTTACGGGTTGTTACATTTGGTTTATAATGGGTTATCTTGGTCGGGTTCGGGTTAAAATATTTCAACCTGTCGGTATCCATACCCGACCGACCCAAATTTTGCTCACAAACTAGAAACCCTAGCTGCCGCTCCCCAATCAGTTTCTCCTTCTAACCCACCCCCTCCCTCCGAGCGGGCGCCAGCCGCAGCATCCAGCTGCTCCCCCTGAATGACACCATAATTGGCAGGGTTATCATGATCATAAGCCTCCTTCCACCTTACCAGCCTCAACGACCTATTAAGCTTGTTCTGAAGAACAAACTTGTCCTTGATTTCAGTGGCGACCTTGATGCGGTTCAGAAGCCCGCCAACGACACGATACTCGGGGCGGAGGCGGAAGTGCTTGTGCTCGAATTTGTCGATTTTGGCCATCCACTTGAAGGCGTCGTCTAGGATTTCGGTGTCGGTGAAGCTCTGGAGGAGGTCCTGGTGGCGCTCGAACTTGCGCTCGAATCCGACTAGACCGACCCGGTTAATCCGAGATTCGACAAACCCGAACCCGATAAACCCGAAACATTATTACAGTCAAAAATGGGTTAAATTTTTTTTTTGGTCAGTTTGGATTGGGTTAAATATTTTTTACCCGAACCCGTCCGAACCCGACCCGTGCTCAGGCCATTGACACCCTTCAAGTTCCCAAAAATTTGCACAACTACCAATCTGTACAAATATAACTCTTTACGCAACCGCAACCTGTACAAACCCTAAACCCTTCAATAGTCCATTCGTTTCATTCACATTGTTGCAACACAGCCTAATCTTCCTCCATCCTTTTTTGACCATGACTTCCACTGCTGCCGTCGTCGGTAATACTAACTCCAACTTTCTCCTTCTACTAAATTCTTTTATGCTAACATTGTTGTATGTCGTTCAACCATGACTCATCTCTTTCTTTATCACAGCACAAACAAGACAACACATATTTCTCTTCAACCAGGAATGGCACATTTCTGAGTTTAAAGCAGAACTTTGGCCTCATAAGGTAAACCCTAAACCGCTTAAACTTTACACAATTTGTTATATAATGTCTGCATGTTAATAATTGTTTTTTGTATTTAGGGACAACTGATTATTCCCAGACGATTTTACCATCATTGGAAGGAAACCATGAAGTTTGACAAATACTTTATCACAGATCCGGGTGGAAACTGTTTTCCCATCAACATTACCAGAAAAGGACAGGTTGGAATAATCACAACGGGATTTCAAAAAATGAATGATTTTTATGGACTGCAACACTTGCATTCTATACTGTTTAAATACAATGGGAGACAATGGTTCGCCATTAGAATCTTCACATCCATGGACGACGAAATTCCTTATACCCCAAACACAGTTGCTGAACAGCAACAACCACAAAGGTTATTTTCATATTCCTGCAGTATTATATATGTTATGAATTATTCCCATTTTATTTCTTATTTCTTATACTTGCAAAAATATTCTGTTATACAGATTGGACAACGATGTCTCATTGGAACCAATATCCATCAAACTTGTCATATTCTAAAGAGGAAGAGGAAAATGGCATCTTCATTTGAGTACTACTTAACATCAACATGCTCAAGGTTCTTCAAACAACAAGGGTTCCTACTGGGAGACAACTTGATTTTAGAGAAGGTTATCACCCCAAACAATTTACTTATTCAAGTCCAAAAGATAAACCATTAACTTTATGTTATTTATTTATTTAACTTCTCTCAAAATGATGAACTAAACCCTATATCAATATGACTATTGAAGTTCAATATTGACGCCTATTTAACTATCATTTATATTGTCTTATGAACATCACTTATATCATTATTAGTGTTTTAAGTTACATTTATACTAATTGTCTTTAAATTGCAATTGTAAACCCCATATTAAAGGAAACCAAAATGCCTAACGTCTTTCGGTATTGCAAACCATTTTCCTAAACATACAATTTACCCTTCCAATTCAACTTTACTATTCATATTCTTATTCATGTTATAACCTCAACTCGTAACCATTTATTACTCATTAACGCTGTAGTCAAACACCGAAAATGTATTACTCTTTAACGAATGAAATTATAAAAACACATGTTTATTACGGTTTTTGTCCTGTTTTCACATTTTGTGTAACAACTGCGAACCCTCCACTGCAGAACCCTCCTCTGCAGATTGCCATCTTACAATTTCAGTCACTTACAAATGTAATAACAAAGTCTCACACTACAATAAATTTTAACTATTATTTATCATGACTTTTATCATAATTATTTAATAATCTAACGTTATTTTACATCATTCACAATCAATTTATGAACGTTATTTCAATCGACATACCAATATGTTTTTCAATCTAAAATCATATTATTTTCTGCCAACTTACCAACTCAAAAATCCTAATAAAACATGACTGTTACTGTTATTCTATATTTCGTCCACTGCGACTACACCACCTAATATATTCAACATAAGCCCATTTGCAATAGCCTAAACATAATAGGCCCACCAACATAACTTGTGCGATAATATAAATTGTATCAACTGCAAATCACAGTACCTCCATTTGCAACTTATCAATGACTTTAATCTGTAACAAATTTCAACCGATTGCCATTTCCCCACCCATATCACAATTTCTGTTAACCACAACGTCAACAAATCATACTGTCAGTATATAATGTATAAACATTTTTCCATCCTTCAACCATTACAAACAAAACGAATTACTTTAGCCTCCTCAATCCACATTATTCCACATGACATGATTATGCCTCGTTTAACAAATAATATGCCACTAACAAATCTAACAACGTTCATATACAATCAAACCACACTAAATAACAAATTCTTCTGCAATACACTTTCATTCTTTTTTGTTTCAAATAATTTGTCAACCATATATTATGAATCACATTCTGTCCAACTTCAAATCTCTCATTCCTCAAATTTCACTCAAAACTCAAACCATATTACACACTACTCAACAATAATATTTTTTTAATGTAATATAACATTATTACGATAGTTAATTATGTAACACAATAATGTACACCTTATTCTACCAACACTTTCTACCACAATTACACAACATACATATATTCTAATATGGTTCAAAATATATTTTTTTTTCATTCACAACCAATCAATCTTAATATTTCCTTATAAAAAATTCAAAACCATTATTGAACTTCAATCCTTCTACAACAAACAAAAACCGCAAAACAACAACTTACCAAAATCGACAGTACACACATAACACACAACTCTCTCGTCACTTGCTTCGTTACTAAATACCACCGATTACAAACAAAACCCACTTTTGCCACACATACGAGATACGACGTACCACAAACACACTTTTAACTTTAACAAAACCGATTCATAAATCAATGTCGCAACCACCTCGCCGGAAAATGCCAATTTAACGGTTCAAAAACTCGGCTGAAAAACCACACTACGATAACCTCAGCCAACAAGGGGAATTTTAGATTTCAAAAACGCCTTTCAAACAACACATTGCCAATCAACTCCTCCGACAACTCCAACTTTATGGTTTCACAAACACTACTCATCTATTCATTCCATTAAACACTAAACTCAATATTCACACAAAAAATTACTTAAATTAAAACACGATTCATCATTCAAACCTGATTCATCATTGAAATTTGCCATCTGTATAGTATGTCAAAAATCAAACACAAAAATTACTAAACAACACAATCAAAGTCCCTAAACCCTACATCACAATTTGAAATTACCAACAAAAACAAACCGAACCATATAAAAAATATTATTCTTCACAACAAGACTATGCAAAAGGTATCTGGAACATAACACTTACATCTATCACCGACTACTGACAGATAACCACTCCGGTCAAATGCGTCGTGGGAAAATACTTTCGTCGGAGATGATGACGCTTTACGGCTGACAAACCAGCTTCCTTCGCCGGACAAAAACGAAAAATGAAACCACAACGACTATACGTGCGCTTTCAAAATGGACAGTCGCAACCAGGTCGACGGAAAACGACAATACACAGCCCTAAGCGGAGACGGAAAATTTAACCTTGTTAGCCTTCCGGAGAAGAACAACGCATTCAGAAATCAGTCGCAACAACCTCGACGGAAAACGGAAATTTTAGGGTTCAATAACGGGGCAGTAAAATTCACAATGCGAAGCCCTCAGCAGAGAAGGCAATTTTACGTTCATAGCCTTGGGTGAAATTACCTTATTGTCCTTTACGAATTGTTCAACTTTCAAGTCTTACCTTTCCAGCTCACAAGGTGACTCACCTCATTAAGACCACATGTCAATCTGTCATTGATTTACAAACAAGGGGCACAAAAACCCCTCCAAACAAAAGGGTACCGGAGCAATAGCCCAAGTTTACGGGTGTATATAAAAATTAATTACACTCACAAACCTTTTTTATTTCACAGAAACATGTGTTTTTTCATCATTTAGTACTACACGCAAGCAGCAAAGTTTGAATCGGGTCATTTCATACACTTATTTTTCATAAAATAAATGCAACTTCAACGATACGGCCCTTACAGTTTTATTTCCACACGGTCCTGCCACCATTTTTGGATCAAATCAAAACTTGTTGATAAAATCATAAATGTGAGTATTGATTTCCTCAGCTACTTCTTGGTTGTTGAAATGAGCTACTCCTTTCTGCACAATCACTTCTTTCAAATTGGGCACATCTTGCTTGAAACCTCCACCATGAATATACTCCTTCGTGCCTGGCGATGTGTATACCATGTCCAACTCACCTGTTATGAATTTTACCGGCACCTTTATTTGCACACCGCTCCATGGTGCTGTCAGCTCCCAATTTCTGCAAATAAATACAATTAATTAATTTAGAGAAACATTAATTTAGAGCAGCTAAAAAACCGGAGAGTGAAGAAATTACGAGTTCAAATTTCTGTAGTAGTTCAAGCCTCCAATGAAGCCAGTTTTCTCATATTTGGAGACATAATAAGCAAGATCATGTTGTGTGAGCCAAGAGGGTAACGCATCAGTCATATCAGGATTGAATCCTGTTCCGTATTCTCCCTTGGGAAATATTGGAGGTCCAGGTTTGCGAGTTGTGAGGATGTTTTTTAGGACATACTCAGTGCCAACTTGAGCCATCTGAGCCTCTATTTCGCCAGGTTTCTGTCACACACAATCAGATCTACCATTGTAACTAGCTGTAGCATAACTAAAAATAATTAATGAAGAAAAAATGATGGAAATATAACCTGAAATCTGCAGACATAGTAGTCATCTCCATGCATAGCACGCATGCCATCTACCGTTCTGACGTTGGCGTCTCGGTGGAGGAGAGGAACACTGAGGCAGACATAGGCCTTCACTTTCTCAGGACGAAACATGCAGAGATACCAGCCGATGACGGCACCCCAGTCATGAGCCACAAGGAACACTTGCTCCACACCCAAAGAGTCAATAAGCGCAACCAAGTCACCCACTATGTGAAAGCAGGTGTAGCTACTGATCGAAGGTGGTGCCTCCGTGTCACCGTAGCCACGCAGATCTGGAGCCACGGCACGGTATCCTAGGGAACTGAGAGCGAGGATCTGGTGGCGCCATGAGTACCAGAGCTCAGGGAAGCCATGCAAGAACAACACCACAGGGCCTTCTCCTTTCTCTGCTACGTGCATTTTGATGCCATTCACTTGCACTCTTCTGTGCACTATGCCTTCCATCTGTGTCTTTCTTCTTCTCTTGGGAAGTGCGGTGTTGGTTTAATACGGTGGTTCTCCTCAAAGTTCAAACCAGAACACCAATGATTATCATTCAATTAATACGAGCCATCAATTTATATGATACTTTTGGGGGATGACAAGAAACTTAACTACGCGCCAGCCTGTCGCTTGTTGCCCGTCTCTACAAAAAAATGGAATTTTGGTCCTCATCTCCAATCCTCTCTCAATTTAATTTTATAAAAATTATTTAAAAAATTACATTAATTATATTATAAAATTAATTTATATTATTATAATATTATTACAAAATTAATATGGTTTCTTAAATATTAAATAATATTGTAATAATTTTAATTAATTTTATAATATTATAATTAATGTAATTTTTTAAATAATTTTTATAAGATTAAAATTTAAATTATGTTTATTATTATTACACAAGCCACTCCGTTACCATGGACAGCGACGTTGCAACCCTGAGGCGGCTGATCGACCAAGTCGAACAGATGCGACAACAGCACGACGCTGACCTCCAGAACATACGTGCCCAGCACGAGAATGACCTCGCAGCATTGCGAACCGCTAATGAAGCAGACCTCGCAGCGTTACGCGCCGAGAATGAGCGCATCCGCGCCCAGCTCCCTCGACATCACTCCAATCAACCTCCGCACGATAGTGACGATCATGAGAAGGAGACACATTCAGCCTCCCAATCCAGAGCGACGACTAAGGCACCGACTTCACGACCCGCCACGCATCAGTCTCATGCATCAACACACAGAACAGGGCAGGGTACCAGCAGGGCCCCCACCCACGTCTCCGAGGGGCAAGAACCCTTCCGCCGTCATCCCTTTGTGGATGGCATCATGGAGACCCTACTACCCCGCGGGTGGAAACCCCTCCACCTTGACCGCTACGACGGCACCACGGACCCTGACGAGCATATAGATTCGTACACAACTCAGGTAAACCTTTACACTAACAGCGACACTATATTGTGTAGGGTTTTTCCGACCTCACTCAAGGGACTCGCGCTTCATTGGTACACCCAACTACCAGCCGGATCCATCGACAGTTTTGCCACCCTGGTGCGGCGATTTATGGCACAATACGCCACCAGCCGACCTCACCACACAACCTCGGCCGCCTTGGCCAATCTCAGGCAGAACGACGACGAGCCCCTGCGGGCCTTTATGGAGCGCTTCTCCAACATCTCAGTTCGGATCCGAAATCTCAACCCGGAGGTCGCCCTGCATGCCATGCTCATGGCACTGAAACCCGGATCATTCGTCGACAGCCTATGCCGCGATGCCCCCCGCGACATGGACGAACTGCGCGCCCGCGCCGCCGGCTACATTCAGATGGAGGAGCACTCGGCTTTCCGCGACCAAGTTCACGGGAAAGGCCCCGCGAAACCAGAACAGGGCCATAAAGATAAGGTGAAAGTCAATAATGACAGCCAGTTCAAGAAGTCGGCCAGAGCGAACAAAGGCGGGAGGTATGACTTCTACACTCCCCTGAACGCCCCAAGAGTCCACATCCTGGAGGAGGCCAGTAACAACAACCTACAAGCCCTCCCACCACCCGGCCACACACTCAACAGCGCCGACAAGTCCAAGCACTACCGGTACCACAGGAACTATGGCCACACCACGGACGAATGCCGCACGCTCCGGTACCGCATCGAAGAACTTATCCAGGCGGGCCACCTTGGCCACTACGTCCAGCGATAGCCAGGTCCCCGAGGGGGCTCTGGAGGCCGGGGACGCGGGAGAGGTCGCAGGTCAGGAGCTCGCACAGACTTACCCACAGGGTCCCAGCAAAATGCTAATGGCGCGGTACAGGCCGAAATAAGTCAGGAGACAGACTCAGCCCCCTTGCAGGGAATAATCAACACCATTGCAGGCGGCTTCGCCGGAGGAGGTGCTAGCAGCTCGGCCCGGAAAAGACACCTTCAAAGCATCAACTGCGCCCACTCCACCGCCTCGATCTCGCACAAGAGCTCGCCACCGATCTCTTTTTCCGATGTGGACTATGCGGGAAGCAGCCCTACCAAAGATGACCCCATGGTCATCGTGTTAGAGATCGCCAACTGGCCAGTACAAAAGACACTCATTGACCAAGGGAGCTCGGCCGGCGTCCTGTACTGGCCAACATTCCTCAGGCTCGACGTCCCCCACTCTCTAATCTAGCCACACACGGAGCCCCTAGTTGGCTTTGCCGGCAAACGGGTCCACACCCGTGGATACGTGGACCTGCTGACAACCTTTGGAACACCTCTGGATACAAGGAGGATCATGGTCCGATACCTCCTCGTGGAGGCCAACACCTCCTACAACATCATCATCGGGAGGTCGACCCTAAACCACCTCGGGGCGGTGGTATGCACTCCGCACCTCACCATGTAGTTCCCAGGGAATGACGGAAAGATTATCTCCGTCAGAGCAAACCAGAAGACAGCTCGGCAATGCTACGCCGAAAGCCTGAGGATTTCCTCATCAGGCAAGGAAAGCAAGGGGAGTCCATCCACCGCTCCCCATTAGATTCTACTCCCCCATTTGTACAAACGAAACCGTGCACTCTTTTCCCGCCTCAGTTCCAAACTGAGAGGGTTTTTAACGAGGCACGCAAAACCATTTAATAACATTCTACATTTTGCTAACCCATTGCTTTCTAAACTACTGCTTTCTTACCTACTGTAAAAATCGAAATTGAACCACCATAATTCATGAAAATCCGAGGTCGAGCACGAACCCCGGTATTCTCGTTGCAGGTCGAATACGAACCTTAAGCCAATCATTCGCACAAATCCGAGGTCGAGTACAAACCCCGATATTCTCGTTGAAGGTCGAATACGAACCTTAAGCCAATCATTCGCACAAATCCGAGGTCGAGTACGAACCTTAATCCAATCATTCATGAAAATCCGAGGTCAAGCACGAACCCCGGTATTCTCGTTGAAGGTCGAATACGAACCTTAAGCCAATCATTCGCGCAAATCCGAGGTCGAGTACGAACCTCGATATTCTCGTTGAAGGTCGAATACGAACCTTAATCCAATCATTCATGAAAATTCGAGGTCGCCCACGAACCCCGATATTCTCGTTGAAGGTCGAATACGAACCTTAATCCAATCATTCATGAAAATTCGAGGTCGAGCACGAACCCCGGTATTCTCGTTGAAGGTCGAATACGAACCTTAAGTCAATCATTCGCGCAAATCCGAGGTCGAGTACGAACCCCGATATTCTCGTTGAAGGTCGAATACGAACCTTAATCCAATCATTCATGAAAATCCGAGGTCGAGCATGAACCCCGATATTCTCGTTGAAGGTCGAGTACGAACCTTAATCCAATCATTCATGAAAATTCGAGGTCGAGCACGAACCCCGATATTCTCGTTGAAGGTCGAATACGAACCTTAATCCAATCATTCATGAAAATCCGAGGTCAAGTACGAATCCCGACATTCTCGTTGAAGGTCGAGTACGAACCTTAATCAAACACTGCACATAAACCCGAGGTCGAGAACGAACCCCGGTACCCTCGCTAAAGGTCGAGTTCGAACCTTAATCTAATTATCCGCACAAACCCGAGGTCGAAAACGAACCCCGGTATTCTCGTTAAAGGTCGAATTCGAACCTTAACTCAATTATTCGCATAAACCCGAGATCGAAAATGAACCTCGGTATTCTCGTTGATGGTCGAGTTCGAACCTTAATCTAATTACTCACATAGATCCGAGGTCGAATACGAACCCCGGTATCCTCGTTGAAGGTCGAGTACGAACCTCAAGCTAATCAGTCACATAAACCCGAGGTCGAAAACGAATCCTGGTATTCTCGTTAAAGGCCGAATTCGAACCTTAATCTAATTACCCACATGAACCCGAGGTCGCACAAACCCGAGGTCGAATACGAACCCCGGTATTCTCGTTAAAGGTCGAATTCGAACCTTAATCTAATTATCCGCACAAACCCGAGGTCGAATACGAACCCCTGTATTCCCATTAAAGGTCAAGTTCGAACCTTAATCTAATTATCCACACAAACCCGAGGTCGAAAACGAACCTCGGTATTCTCGTTGACGGTCGAGTTCGAACCTTAATCTAATTACTCGCATAAACCCGAGGTCGAATACGAATCACGGTATCCTCGTTGAAGGTCGAGTACGAACCTCAAGCTAATCAGTCACATAGATCCGAGGTCGAGAACGAACCCCAGCATTCTCGTTAAAGGTTCCACCATCGAACCAGTATCCTTGGTAAAGGTCGAGCACGAACCTTAACCTAACCGAATCCGAGGTCGAGAATGAACCCCGGTATTCTCGTCAAATACGAACCTTAATCTAATTATCCGCACAAACTCGAGGTCAAAAACGAACCTCGGTATTCTCGTTGATGGTCGAGTTCAAACCTTAATCTAATTACTCGCATAAACCCGAGGTCGAATACAAACCTCCGCTAAAGATCCAATACGAACCTTCAACACGCAAATCCGGGGTCGACGTACGAATCCCGACATTCCCATTCAAGGACAAATGCAAACCTCAACCCAATCGTTTACGCCAACCCTAGTCGGATCAAACATGAGCCGAGTATGGACCTCAGTGTCCTCACCTAAGGCTGAGTCCAGGCCATAACCAAATCGGTTCGCTTGAAGAACGAGGCCGATAACACACCTTAACCCCTTCGTAAAAAGGGTACGAACCATAGCTGCACCCTAGGCCAAGACTAGAGCCATCACTTAAAACCGAGGTCGATCTCAAATCCCGACCCGGTCAACGCACGGCCAAGACACCACCATGCACAAAAAACAGGCAACAGATGTCAAGCGAAGGCTTAAAAGCAAACAAAAAAGTCAAACACAAGACAAGCCCAGAGCACGAAGGAAGAAAAACACATATATATATATACAAATCCAAATTTACAACTAGCTCGGTACACGAAACAAAGAAAAAGGAAACAAAAATTACAAAGAAAGCCTAAGCGGAGGCATTTTCACTGGGACTGTCGTTAACATCGTCCTCCGAAACAATCCTCCCACAGCGGACCACCTTCTCCACATGCATCGAAGAGAAGTCGAACCCGGGAGCAAGAAGCCGTGCCTGACG